AGAATGGGAACTCCTGCATCATCACCCACCTCCCCAGTGGCACACAATGCATACACAGAGGAAGCACCTGTAAGAAAGCCCCACTGAATATGGATGCTTGAGGCACCCTTTACTCAACCACCACCCCTTACTGTAGGTGCAGCTACCTGCACTTAGCACTTACCCTACAGATGCAGAAGGTAACCAACCTGCTACTAAAGGCTCTAGAGCTGAAAAAGTCCATTTTATGCCCCTTTTGAACTTATACTGCACCCACCTCCCAATAGGCGCTGTGTCCCAGATCTTGACAGCATCCCTCATGCTTGTTGCGTAACTCAGAGTGCCAACATTAACCCTCAAAACCTGCTCACAGCAGGTGAGGAGGAAAGACATTTAGGGGAGTAATTTCCATCACCCAGTTCTTCAGCATCAAGCCCCAAGGTAGAAGCAGTCTATTGGTATTTTCTAATTATGCTAACTACCCATAAACTGTGGTGGCAGGGAGGCTATACCTACCAGAGAGAGCACGGCACACCATGGAGATGCCTAAGCCACCACCAAAGGCAGTAGCTAGCCTCAGTACCAGAATCACTATCATTAGCATAGTACCCCACCTAAGCTAATATATGCTATTTTACTGGAAGGTTAATTAGCCAAAAACTGCTCTTCTACGGTATACTGCTTCCTGTATGCAAGACAGTTCACTAGAGTTCACATGGATACCACTGCTGAACTTCTCTCTGTGCAACACAGATATGTCCCCAGTGCCCATCTATAGCTTTGAGCTTCCATGGACTCAAGACTCTCCTTGCTTGTTGACATATGTATTTTTCCCACACAGCAAAACTATTGTATAACAATATGATTAGATTCACTTAGTTATCTAAACAGAGGTGTGCAGCTCAGCCCTCCAAGCCTGGTCTAACTGATGCATTTTTTTCCTGTTTTTCACAAAACAGGCTCCCCCACATGTGACAGTCACATTTCTGTACAAGAGATCCTATCAGTGTCTTTTAAAAACTTAAGCTTTATCAAGGAACTCCACTGACTGTCCCTAAAGTACTCCCTAAATTGCAAATTCTGCCCCTCTTACAACTATAACTAAAAAAAATATAAAATCACATGGTCGAAAATGTCCTTTTAACTGCACTGAATTATAAAAACAAATTAAGAAACAGGTCTAAAATTTTTAATTCTGCATCAAAATGTGTAAGAGATAGTACAAGATGTTCGATAACAAGTTCCACTTAAACAAAACTATTTTTGTTTTCTGCTGTAATCCTCATCCTCTCATGCTTCTTTTATATTATTTCACCTTAGTCCAATGTACATTTTGAGCTCTTAGGAACTTTACTCCATTGTTGCTTATAAAAAATCTGCCTCTTCTACCACATCATGATAATAATACAGATATACTACAGTCACAGGAATAGAAATAATAACCAAAATCTATATTACAATTCTAATTTAAATGAATTCCAAAGAGTACCTTATCTGACCTCAGTCTGCTGACTGCCACACACAGCAATGGATGCAGATGAACCAAGAGAATTTATATAAAATATCACAAAAGACCTTGCAGAGGTATTCCAGAAGGCTCTGATGGCAAATAGAGATGTGAATAGCAAAGACAGAATCACTAGAAAGGCGATTTTCTTTCTGGATCATTGTTTTCTAGTGGAAAAGTGGAAATAGGTTGCATCAAAAAAGACTCTATTGATTGCATAGAAAAACAAACCCAAGCCCCAAATATTTAGGATTTTATTTACATTATAATAGAAAATATACTGAAATTAAGCCAATGACAGTGTGTGAATTACAATGTACTTAATTCCCTGTTATAAAACCCCATACACTGATATGCAACATAAGTAAGGTCATCTCCACCTCCTGAAATACCTATGCACTACGAAGTGACAGACTCGACTCTGAAGGCCTTTTTCACTCCAGGCTTAGAAGTACTCCAGTATGTATTTCTACATAACACACTTCATCAGAATACATGAAGGGGAGAATTCCAAGTCAGGAATGATAGAGGGTGATTATATATGGAGTAGTTGTGGCACCACAGCAAGCAATATGGAAGCTAGTCATTGTGAGAACCAGAATACAGGAGGATTAAGTCAGTAAATTTCTTATTCTGCTAAATCCTCAAATCCTTTCATCTCCTCTCATTGTCAGATAAGGACCACAGTCTGGTAGTTTGCTCTGGGAACACAAATTGCGCCATTATGACAAATATTTATTAAAAAGAAGAATCTTTATAAAAAAGCATTGATAACTTCTTCTCAAAAGCAAAAAAGCAGTGATTAGGTGCCCATCTGAAACATTTAAAGATACATTATGCATATATCTAACAGTACCTCTAATAGTATTCACAAGTGTTTCCTAGGGTAATGTTCCTCCTTATACCTTCATTTAATCTGTTGCTTGTGCTAGTTTGTGTACCCATCACCTACAGTAATTACATTAAGAGGTAGATATGCTACCAGATTAACCCGTGTGACATGCTCTTTCTCAAGGGTCAAATATATTTTGCTCTACAATTGCAATATTAATCTTAAACTATCTTAAAAGATCACCATCACATGCATGAGGGTGATTTCTTTGACTACCTCCCTCCCAAATCCAAAATGCAGATTATGTTTCAGACACAAACACACCCTGAGACATTCACACACAAAATAAAAGAGGTCAATGAAAAAAAAAAAAAAATTACCCTGGTTATTTTGCCTTAAGAATTTTAAAATATTTTCCTAACATCTCAACAAAATTATGCATTTTAAAAAGACTGCAGGCACTGAAATGATTCAGTCATGCAAATAATCACTTACTTACACTGTATGAGTTTGGTTTGGATAAAGCAAATTACCATTTGAAAATAACTTGAAAAACACTCTGGGCTAAGAGCTTGCTTTATAAATTTTAGCTTGGACACAATTTTCCTTAACCTTTTTCTCCTCAATCTCCACTCAGTCACTATGCTAATGCAGTCTGAGTTAAAGAAAAAAACCAACCAGCATGCAGTTGACACAACATCAGGTGCATTCAACATTATTTAAAACATGATCTTGAAAAGAAATAATAAATATTGGTTGCAGCTAAAGGTCAAAATCCAAAAAACTTCAGAGTCATGCAGCAGCAGTCCTTCCTTCCTTCTTTTTTTTAACTCTGATGATACTGGGATTTGTCTAAAAACACCCAGATCTTACAAAAGGATCAGTTGTTGAATTTATTATGTATTAGAAATAATAGAACTGATAGTTAATCTGTGTTTGTGGTTACTCTGCTGAAAAAGTTTACGGACACACAGTTGCTCATGAACATCTTGATTTTGTCCATCACTGCTGAAAACAGCTCTTTGATATAATTTCAAGTGCAACAATCACAAAACATGAACGGTGTCCTGCTTTGTGAGATGAGATTTAATACCAGACCGGGACATTAAGAAGAGCACACAATAAAATGTGACATCTTCCTCCTTTACCAGTTCGGGTAGTAGTCTAATGATTTTACCCACTTTATCACCTTCTGCTTTGGACAAATGATCACTGAGTGTATGACTTCAGACTAATTTGTCAGGTCTCATTTGACCCCATCTGCCAGGGCTGACAAGTGCAAAAGAGCTGATTTAATATATGAGACAGGGTTATCACAACTTCATCTCCAAAAAGACGCTTGGGCCACATGACTTCCAAAAGTATGCCAAAGCCACAAGACCCTTTTAAAGTGGCTCGATATCAAATATGCTGAGCATTCATAGCATTGCCTTGCTCTTGAAATATATGATCTCTAAGAAGCAATAGTAGATCCTCAAAGATACACAGGCAGGGTACTGTCCACCGCTCCATCCAGGCAGCCAAGTCCCTAAAGAACAGTGGAGGATTTTAACCCACTTGCTGAAAACATAAGTTTTGAAGACTTAACTTTAAACACTGATTTCTAAATTATTTGCATCAGTGCTTTGGAATATAAAGTTTTACAAGACACTGAAATGTAAACCTTGCAGCGTGAACATTAATGGAGAATATAACCTCAGCTTCTGTACCAAAAACCTCACCACCCCAAACTACCACAAATGTACATTCAGCCTATGCTCTGACAGAACTATAAGTACAAGCTGGTGGGTGACAAAGACATCAAGTGTGGCCAGAACTTATCAGATCAAAAGCTGTATTCTGGCAAAGTCATTATGGTGCTTTCCATCCTTATTTCAGATTAAAAACAACATACCCAGTATCGTGTTGGCTTTAAGAGTATAATCAAATTGCAGAATCATACTCTATTTAGTGCCAGTCCCATTGAAGCAAAGTTCCTGTTTGGTGGGAGGAGAGTCCCTTGTAAGAGGAAAAACAATTGTGCTAGGTTTAATCAAAAGTGAAAAGGATCTAGCGAATGTTCCCTTTGAGTCACATAACCCACTGCTAATTTCAAGACAGGCTCTGAAACAAGGGTAATAAAAAACGTCCTTTAGAGTAACTTAGAAAGACTGAAGAACAGCTACCACTGCAACTAATGCCAACATCTGCAGGTCTGCTCCCTGCTACTGGGATGCTTTTCACCTACCTGGAAAACAATAAAAGAAGAGGTAGGAGGGGGGAGGAGGGAATAAAATCCCACTGCAGAACACCAAGGGAAATATAGCTTCTTAACTACTGGCTTATCACTTTTACCATTTTCTAGCATTTCTTTTTCTTCTTTGACCTCTCCTGTTCAAACATATACAGAGCTGGGGAGCAAGCAACTCTTTAAAGACTAGAACAAGTGGGTAATCACTAAAACAAGTGGGAAATCACTCATCCTGAACAATGCAAGTTTGTACAACTTGCTCAGGACAGGCTCAGCAGATCAGACACTGCCTGAATAGCCTCTAATTATTGAAATACATTTATCAATTAGGGGATTTTGCATGTTATCAAACTCTTTCATTAACAAGGCTTTAGCTGATTAGTTGGAACATCACCATAAATAGAGAGTTTTGACAGGCTGGAAGCAATTTATGACGTGGAAAATGTACTGACCTGCTCACATCAGGAAACCTGACTGGAAAATAAAGAACTTGGCACTTTGGTCTGATTATTTGTTCCAAATCCTTAGGTCTGTGGTCAGGAATCAGCTTCATAAATTTTCCAATGGATGTAAGAAACGATTCCATATTAAAAGCAGAGTTGAACACCACAACATCAGCAACCAAGCTGTAAAAAGTGGTTAAGATTAATGAGCATACTGCTGCACAAAAGGAATGGAATTATTTTGCATGCAGTGGAAATAGGCCACATATTCTCATAAACAAACAAAAGGTGCAAGTGGAATGCTAATTAAAATCAGCCTTTTCATGTGAATTGGGAGAAACACATGTACCTTAATCAGAAATGTCTTGATTTCTGTCTATTCACTCTTTGAAATATTTTTTAAACTTTTTTTAAACTAAGTAACAAATTGCTAACACTAATCTAAAGGAGCACATCGCATTCTATCTGTTGATTACATTCCATTCATAAAATGGTGAAAACCGCATTACTGTCATTATCTCTTAAAATATAAAGAGGTAAGGCCTGTTGTAACAAAACTTCAGCAGAAGTAAACATGGAAGAAAATGGAAATTCCTTATAGCTGGTGAATGAAGTTGTTAGCTGACAAATGAAGTTGCTAAGCCACTGGCCATCATATTTGAAAAATCATGGCAGTCAGGTGAAGTTCCCGACAACTGGAAACAGGGAAATATATCCCCCATTTTCAAGAAGGGGAAAAAGGATGACTCAGGGAATTACAGACCAGTCAGTCTCACCTCTGTGCCTGGCAAAATCCTGGAGCAGATTCTCCTGGAAGGCATGCTAAGGCACATGAAAAACAGCAAGATGCTTGATGACAGCCAGCACGGCTTCACTAAGGGCAAATCCTGCCTGACCAATTTGGTGGCCTTTTATGATGGAGCTACAGAACTGATGGACAGGGGTAGAGCAATTGATGTCATCTACCTGGACCTGTGCAAAGCATTCGACACTGTCCCACACGACATCCTTGTCTCTAAATTGGAGAGACATCAATTTGATGAAGGGACCATTCGGTGGATAAAGAACTGGCTGGATGGCCACACACAAAGAATTGTGGTCAATGGCTCAATGTCCACCTGGAGACCAGTAATGAGTGGTGTCCCTCAGGGATAGGCGTTGGGACTGGTCTTGTTCAACATCTTTGTCACTGACATGGACAGTGGGATTGAGTGTGCCCTCAGCAAGTTTGCCAATGACACCAAGCTGTGTGGTTCGGTTGATACGCTGGAGGGAAGGAATGCCATCCAGAGGGACCTTGACACGTTTGTGAGGTGGGCAGGTGCCAACCTCATGAAGTTTAACCATGCCAAGTGCAAGGTCCTACACCTGGGTCAGAGCAATCCCAGGCACAGCTACAGGCTGGGCAGAGAAGAGATTCAGAGCAGCCCTGTGGAGAAGGACTTGGGGGTGCTGGTTGATGAGAAAATGAACGTGAGCCAGCAGTGTGCGCTTGCAGCCCAGAAAGCCAACTGTATCCTGGGCTGCATCAAAAGGAGCGTGACCAGCAGGTCGAAGGAGGTGATCCTGCACCTTTGCTCTCGTGAGACCTCACTTGGGAGTATTGTGTGCAGTTCTGGTGTCCTCAACATAAAAAGAACATGGATCTGTTGGAACAAGTCCAGAGGAGGGCCATGAGAATGATCAGGGGACTGGAGCACCTCCCATATGAAGACAGGCTGAGAAAGTTGGGGTTGTTCAGCCTGCAGAAGAGAAGGCTGCATGAAGACCTCATAGCAGCCTTCCAGTATCTGAAGGGGGCCTATAGGGATGCTGGGGAGGGACTCCTCCTTAGGGACTGTAGTGATAGCACAAGAGGTAATGGGTTAAAACTTAAACAGGGGAAGTTTAGATTGGATATAAGGAAATTCTTTCCTGTTAGAGTGGTGAGGCACTGGAATAGGCTGTCCAGGGAAGTTGTGAATGCTCCATCCCTGGCAGTGTTCAAGGCCAGCTTGGATGACGACTTGGGTGATATGGTTTAGAGCGAGGTGTCCCTGCCCATGGCAGGGGGGTTGGAACTAGATGATCTTAAGGTCCTTTCCAACCCTAACTATTCTGTGATTCTATAAATACTCATTTCTACTGAAGGACAACTTACTTTTGATTAACCTACCTTCAACTGACCATGTGTGGCAGGTAGCAGGTTATTAGGGATATGGAATGTTTTTTTAAGCTATGCATACATAATCTTGATTAGAACTATACCCACCAAATATGTATGTTTTATATTAATAATTTATAACATACAAAATACATAGCACAAAGCATCAAAAAATGTTTGATGAAAATTGGCATATTATTGTCATGTTTTGTTCTTTACTGCTGTTTTAAAATCACATGGATCAACAATTTTAAAATTAGGTTAAACGATAACATAGGTATTATTTCTCCACTTAGCCTGGAGAAATCAAGGAGCTACAGAATCATTGACTTAGCTAGGTTGGAAAAGACCTTTAAGATCATGTAGTCCAACCATTACCCCAGGACTGTCAAGACCACCACTAAACCATGCCACTGAGGGCCTCATCTACACGTTAAATCAGAAAACCTGAAAGCTTATTCTGGAAGTGCTGACACAATCTTAGCTACACTGGCAAACACACAACACTAACTGAGGTAAGAAATGCTTTATGGCCAGTTGGTTTTCTCAGTATGTTATATATTGTGATACAGACCCATGGGTCACAAGATACATTGAGGACATGTGTTCATAAGTCACTAGGTTGGTGAAAAGTATATTTGAGGTGAGAGGCTGTCATTCATCCTCACTGCATCTCTCAGCTGTCTGGTCAAGAGAAAACTGGCACTGCTCACCGAAGCAGCAGTAGTCAGCAGGAAAAGCAAAAAGACCCACAACAGAAAAACAATCCTTTTCAAGCAGGCTGCAGGAATTCCACACTCTCCCACATCTATGGTTTTTAACCCACTGGTCTCATTTTTGCACAAATGGTCCAGTCGTCTTTGCTGTATCGGTTTAGAGATGAGATGAGACAGTGCAGGAGCATGGCACGTTTCTTTACTGCTCTCTGACACGTAGCAAAGCCTCTAATTGTATCATGTCTGCTTCTCCCGCGCATGAAGTCTAACCTGCCTAACTTTTTCCTGCAGGCTCTGCATATCACTGTCAAATTAGAAAGATCCCATCACTGCCTGAGCAGCTAAAAGGAATCAGCCACCACTGAAAAGTGTGATTTTATTACGTTAACTCTCCAGTAATAGCAGGGAGGGAAAAAAAATAAAATCTTTCTTAATAATCCAAAGCACCAACTTGAAGATTCAGAGTGCTCTTTATTTTAATCATCTCCAAAAAGCTCTATGCAAAACTGGAAAGATATATTTTCCTATTTCTAATAGATTTGGAAGATGGGAAGATGACTTTCTTTGCAGATGTAGGTAGCAACTAACAGTACAGAGGAGATAGCTTCTATCTGCTGTTAGAAATGGAGTTTCTGCAGCAACAGAAATGGAACACACATATCATATAATTACATGGAGAAGCTACTGCAGTCTGAACAAGGCAGAATGGAAGTCATCTTTTTTTCATTAATAAAAAAGATACTTTTATAATCTTAAAAATGCATATTTTGAGGATGTTCATCAGTTTACAATAGCTGTGTGAAAAATAACTGCCATAACAAAGCAACATATATATATACACACATATATATATAAAGGGTATTCCTTGCCCCAGTGCCAAAAAATACATCCTTTTTGTTGTAACGTCTGAAAATGGCTGCTACAGTTTTTCAAAAAATACTTCACTATAGTTCCTTATCTTTACTGCTCAATAAGTGAAACATGTTGCAAATGCAGTGGCAGAAGCAGCTACAGAATGGCCAGAGCAGAGAGATCCATTATTTGAGAAATTTCAGTACCAACTGAAAGATACTAAAGCTTAATTTGTGCCTTAAAATGCTCAATCTCTATTTCTAATAATTCTCCTACTAACAGGCGAGAAAGATCATGGAAATGGATTTCAGTTAAAAAAAGTGTTGCTGTTTCGCTTTAGTCTGTATAGTGTCTAACCACAAAGCTTTTCAGTGTTGCTGTTATTAACTTCTTTCGTTAACTCATTTTCAAGAAATACATTTGGTTTTAGCAACAATAAAGGGCCACAGCCTTTAAAACATGTGGGCATTTTAGCACTACACAATTTCTGAATGCTACATGAAAGAAATATAAGGATTTATCTGGTAAGTTTACTGCCCTCTCTTCACAAGAAAAGTGCTGCAGTACATTTTAATTTCTGTTTATTTCCCTAAAACCCTCTATATAATTTCAGTTGGATGCAGTAAAAGCTATGGCCAAGCAAGAGCTGATTAGCTGCAGCTTGGCGAAGCATCCATGAAATAAAGCATCTCACTTATGGCCAAGACATAGTTCAAAATCCCCATCACTAATGGGTACAACATAGTAGCCCAACAGAGCATCAGTAGGCATTACACAATAGGGATAAGTTTATAGAGTGGATTCTTTCTGCCACAGTGCTTTTATCGACCTCTCTTCAGGACTCTGTAAGTACCTCAGTTTGCTTATAGGGCTATCATCTATGTGGAGAAGGACTCCTCAGGCTTACAATGCTGCAAGGTCTTAGACAGTAGGATATCTTAACTAACAAGGAGCAACGTGAGAAATACCTACCATGAAAGAATCTGGTTGTATCCATACTGAAAATCCCTTTCCTGGCATTTCTGGACAGGATATACCAACTGGTTCTCATGGAAGTAGAGGACCTTTTTCAATTTGCCAAGGTCAGGGCGGAGGGCAGTGAGTTCAGCCAGGTTAAGCACCGAGCTTGCAAAGAGGATCCTGGAAAACAAGGAGAGCAGTGTTTACTGTCTGTGAGCATGCTCACAGGGGTCACCTCTTCCCCTTCTCCCTCCTCCTCAAGAAAAACATAACCCCTATAGGGACACATCAATAGCTAAGCCTTAATACCATGTAGCAGCATTCGAAGTTTTGATCTCTTAAAAAGCAGCTGCTAAGAAACCAACTAGAAAAGCACCAAATCTCATTGGTCTTCCCAGCTCGGTTACAGAGAGATGCAAAATAAAAAAAAAAAAAAAAAGCTGGATGGATTTTATTGAAAAAGGCAAGAAAAGCTGTATCTGAAGGACAAATGGAACAAAGATAAGGCTGACTAGGGAATACTTTGCTTGCCAGTTTCATTACACTTTACTTCTTTATGCAACTGACTACTGAAATTCAATATATGAGCAGGAATGGTACATGTTCATGTTATGACATAAACCCTTTTGATTTATGCACTGCACTTATCTAGAATGGTCTGGTTTTCTATTCCCCCCCCACACACCCACCCTTTTTCTGTTTTACTTTCACGTTTTTATTAGGTATCCTCTATAATGAAATGTTGTTTCTACTCTTGCACCCTTTTAGAATTGCTGCAGCACTCCAGCTATTCCAGAGTCTATAATACTGTATGCATTCTTCAATTATATAAAGCAGGCACAAACAACACTAACAAGCTGCTATCTTAGCCTTGTATAACTTCCCAGGCTATCAGAAAATGAATGTATTTAAATGTGTAATATGAAATTGTGACCCTACTGTAACCAGTGGCAGATTTCCCTGCATTTCAACCAAAGTATGTGAGCATCTCCTGTCCCCTGCTAGCGCTGTTTCCAAGCAAACTGAATACTGAACCTACAGAGAACTGCAGAGCCAGACATTTGTGTTAGACATTTCTCATCAAAACGGAGAGAAAGGGAAAAAAAAGGAAAAAATATAGAAAATGGGTATTATAGCTTTAATAAACTACTTTTTAACATAGCATGTTTCTTTTTATTCCTATCCTTCATTCTATTTTTTCTCATTCTTCCTGTTTTTACATGAATTTGTGTTAAAGATTACTGCCAAACTTACTTCAGAAATCTTATAAACTCATGCTTCTGGCCGTCAACCTTAAAACTCGTGAACTTCCCCAAGTATCCCGTATAGCACATCATCATCTACAGTAACATACACCGTTGTTAGATAATCTGTATCTACAGAATAAATACTTCCTAGAGAACAGATCCTGTATCCGTCTTCATCAACGTGAGTCAATGCTGATCTGAAAGGCTTCTGAAAGTAAGAGATGAATGTTATATACGATGAATGTTCATCAAATATTTGACCATTTTAAGGGACTGTCAAACAGAATGCCAATTAGGATATGAGCTTGGGTTTATTGCAAGCCATGCTAAGAGGAAAAAATAATTTTCCCTAAGTCATCACTAATCTGTCATGAAAACTAATAACAGATGACCTGGGTGCCAGATTCAAAGCAGAGGCAGGAGAGCTTCCTACAGGCGATGCAATACGCCTGCTCAGAAATGGCTGTGAGTTTAGTGCTAGAGGTACACAAAAGAATACAAACAGGAGAAAACAGACCCCAAATATTACAAAAATTAGATTAATTGGTTGCTTGGCAAAATTTTGTCTATTTCTGGATTGTATTATGGTTTATCCTTCCCCAATTTTTCAGGAAATCACTTTCTGCAATGAGTTAGGAAGAAAACTGAAGCAATGCAGGACAGCATCTAACTACGTGATAGAGAAAAAAAAAAGAGATGGCAATTGGGATTGAAAACACAGGAAGCATTGCAGAATAAAGCACAAAAGCAGAAGTGGAAAGAGAAGATAGTGGGGGTGCCAAGGTTAACATCACAACTGGAGAGAAAAGGACAATGGGGAGCACAAGAGATGAGATCCAAGATATAAGCTTAGGCAAAACTGTGTAGGTCTGAAATATCTCAACTAACTCAGATGGCCAACAGAATAATTAAGAGAGAAATATGAAAAAAAATAATTGCTATATCCACAGGTAAGGAAAATAGTGTTTGCAGTACTAGTGTACACAAACTGGTGGAATTCAAGAGCACTGAAGGTGGGCTTTTAATAATGCAAGAAAGGCCAAAAACCTGAAAAGCTTTTAAGAAGTAGACCCAAATTTTCTCCGCTGTAAACGGAAAGTGCAAAGACTTGATTAACAAGTACACCACTTATCACTGCCCAGCTCATCAGTAAACCAGTGTCAAGAGAAAACTGTTGCGATTACTACCAAATTCAGATTTAGAGCCTGAAATCACACAGCTTACGTTTCTTACACCAAGAAAAAAAAATAAAAATAAATCCATTTAAGTGATGATATTATTAGAAAATACCCTTCCCGATTACCTTGCATTACTTCACAGCATTTCAGAATTTAACCCAATAAATATGAGTACACAGAATTAAACCAAATGAATATGAGATGCTCTTATACTTGTTTCTTTACTGGCAGAAAGGCTGCTAACTACCAGTGATAACCAATTTCTCCAGCATTATAAGCCTAAATAACACCTGACAGCACGAGTCCTCATGAACATGCCCAGAGAGCAGCCACATACGTGGCTAATGGACTCACACAGGGCACTGGAGTATATGCTGGAGTGTATTTCCATTTAACACCTATTACAAGGGGAAGAAAGAGAAGTTCATTATAATGTAACATGCAACATAAATATATGTCAGTTGTCATTCTGTGTGACATCAACTTTCATTTTACCTCAGGTTATTATTTAAGTAATAAATCCTAACAAGGTGAGCTTTATCATCCCACGGATTGTATCCAGGAGGTAGAGACACAAGGTGACGGCAAGAATGCTTGAAACATGATAATTCCTGACAGCTGCTGCTTGAGCACAAGTTAAATTGAACAGTTTATCTCAGCATAAAGATGTTATAAGGTTTTATGTTTAATTTAAAAAAATTAACATAAAACCAAGAGAAAGCAGAGTTAGGCAATCTTTCACAAACATGACATACTACAATCACTGCATAAACTGGATTAGTACTTATTACCATACTACTAGAGAATTAAGCTGTTTTTAGACCACCAAAGAGCCTTAAATTGCAACTTTTGTCTCTGTAAGAGAAACCTATATTTAAATTGACTGCTAATTCAAATTAACAGCTACATCATTAACCTACCATCTCACAACACCCCCCCCCCCCCCACACACACACACATTTCAATGGCTGTTATGATATTCTTATCTAAACCTATAAACACTACAACACATAATATATACAGTCCACTTCAACAGACTGGGCAAATCCTCACAAAACCTGCACTGAAGGTCACATTTGTAAGGAACTACCCTAGCTCTCCTTTCCAAAATATCCCCAAGCATTTTACTATGCTATGGTCCTTCCATAGAGCAAGACCATCACGCAGGCAGTAGCCCCACTGCCGTGGAAGCTGGTCAGATTTCAGGACCACCATTCACATAAGGTCTGGTCTTACATTAAGCTCATGTTTCATCTGAATCACTTAATAGTGCTGATTTCTCAGGAACTACCATACATTCAATACAAATATTCATGGGAAGAAAGCAGAGGGTGCTTGCAGGTTCAGAGCTGCAATTTGTCTGGAGAATGTTCTGACCTTTGCTACTGTCTTGTCCATTATTTTACACCAAAGGACTGAAAATCAGTAAAATACAGAAGCCTTTACTTTTGTTTGTTTGTTTGTTTTTAATTACCAGCAGACAAAATTGACTAGTACAGCTTTCCACTTACATCAACCAAATTATAAAAGTGAAGGTGCTAAAGTATTTTTGTTTTGCTTTACCAATCTTCTGTGTGTCACGTAACCATGATTTACCCTTTTATAGCATTGCCCTAAATCTTTCAATTACATTCTCATGCAACTTAACTAAAAACACATTTAGCCTTCCCCTTGGGTGACCACACATGTCATATTTGTATACCTATGGATACAGAGGTTGAACTCTACAATTCACCAGGCAAGTTTAAAACAGTACCTGGACTATTTGCTTTGTCTGGCAGAAGATCTGCCAGCACAAAAGGCTGACGAACATGGCCACAATTTGTATTACAGATCAGGTAACCCAGCTCTCTCTGAAAAAGAGGATTACTTTAGGGTACCATCCTGTACAGCAACAGGGACTCTCTTGCACTGCAAATTATATCCAAGGCTATAAATCTCTGCCGCAAAACAACTACATTCACAGTAAAATGAGTTCATGATCAAATATCTGGCTGTCCAGAGAAGAGGTACAAGCACTCTTTGTCTGCAAGGTGCAGTATTACAATAAAAGAGTTAGATTTGGATATTGCTACAAATATGAGCCTTTTAGGGGAAACAGGCACTAAAAAAAAAAAGAAAATAAAAGACTGCTCATTAGATGGCACTGACTGAATTAACATTCATCCACCCTTCAGGAGGAGAGCATGATGCTGGAAGAAGGGTCTGTATCAATCTAGAACTAAAACCCTGAACACCAGGAAGCATATAATCCCACCATGCTTTCACCAGGCAATGACTGCTTCATTCTTGCAGAGATCCACATTATACTGTATCTATAAATATATTCATTTACAGCAGAGAGTCTCAAAACCCTCAGGTTTTTACCCCAAATATGTTTTTATTCTGGCCACAGTTGTCATGCACTCAGCAGAGCGAAGTCAGGGTGCCACAGGACACCACGCAGACACTATGACCAAACAAATCATCATCAATAACCATGAAACACAACACACAGTCACACCACTGCTGATGGCTGTTTTCTCCAGTTCTTCAGAAGCCAACCAAAATTTTACAGTAAATAACAAGAACCATTAGGGGAACCACCTGCAAGAGTTTCAAAGATGATAACGTCTTCAAGCTCCTGAAGATCAAACCTGACGACTTTGGTTCCTCCATTGTACAGTTTCCTTGATTTCAACCCCGCAGTTCAGATTTGGCTTGAACATCTTTTTGAAATGAACTTGTGTATAAAATAGCATTATTAATGCCTGGG